AAAAAAATAACATTTGATTTTTTAAAAAAAAATTATAATTTAAAAATATAATTATAAATAATATATTAATAAATTTAATTAAAAATATATAAATAAAAAAAATAAAAAAAAACAAAAAAAAAACTTTATATTTTTTTTTAAATACTAAATAAATTGTTTACTTTTTTGGTTTTTTTTTATTACTATTTTTTTTTATCTTTTTTTTTATTCTACTTATTTTTTTTCTCAATTCTATAAACTAATTTTCAATATAATTTTTTTAGTTCTTTTTTTAATTCTTTTTCTATTAAAATTAAATTTTTTTTTAAAAAGTTTTTTTCTCTAGTTTTTCTTTTCTTTTAAAATATTATTCTTTATCTTATTACTTCTCTAGTTAATAAACTTCTTTTTTCAAAAACTATTAAAAAGTGATAATTTTTTTTAAGGTATAAACTTGAAAATTTTTCTTTTCTATTATCATATATTATTTCTATCTCTGAAGAAAAACAAAGATAAAAAACTAGTAGCAGAAAGATATTTTGTTTAAAAAAACCAATATAATATGCTAAAATTTCTAAGGTATATTAAAAATTAATACAGTTTTAAGGTTTATAAAATCAAGAAAAAAAGGCAATAATAATTTGTTTTAATAAAGTTAAAGTTATCAATTTTAATTTGAATAATAAATTATTTGTTTATTAGATTTTATTAGTAAAAAACTTGGAAATATATTTTATACAAGTATAAACAGATATATATTATATAACAAATATTTATTATATAACAAATATACATAATAATATATTTCAATATTTCAATATTAATTATATGACAAAATTTTTTTATTATATTAATAAAAAAATCATGTGAAGTATTTTATTTAATATCTTAAAAATCCTAAATAGCCTATTAAAAAATAATTAATATAATTAATATATTAAAAAAATCACTGGCTATTTTTTGATTTTGCAGAACGAATTGATTTAATAATAATTATTTAAATGAAAAATATTTTTTTCATGAATTTTTTTATTTATATAAATCGGGATAAAAAATTCTTAAAATTCAAACTTATCAAAATCATAAATTATTGTTTGGATTTCGATATAATGTATATATGGTATAATATAAAAAAAGTATATATGATATATTTACTGTATATTAACGATGACTTAATGATTTTATTTAAAAAACAAATCTAATATCAATAAAAATTTCATAATTGTATGCGAAATAAATGAATAAAATAAAAAATTGTTTTGTGATCTTATCAGATATTATTCAATAAGTAAATTTTTTAAAATAATAAACGCGTTTATAATAATAATAATTTTTTAATTCATAATGATTTGTGAAAAACATATTATTTATTTTAAGTCTAATTTCAAGTATAATAATATGTATACAGTAAAATAATATACTTTTCAAACTATTTTACTAGATATGTTAAGTAAAAAACTCAAAAAAAAAATTTGATTATTTTGGTTTTGTGTTATAAAAAATGCAACGAATTTAAATAAATAAAATAAAATTTTCAATTGATAAAGTGCAATTTTTTAATTGGTAAATTTTATTTAAGAAATTATTCAGATACTTATTATGTTGAATCTTAAAAATAGTCCATGAGAATTTAAATACCTTTGTTGTATTGTATCGTAAACAGTTGTACCTATTTTTTAAAAAATTTTCACTTAAAAATTTTTGTTATATGTTGATTGCGATCAAAATATCTTTTGTACCTCTTTGAAAAACAAACCGTTAATACTTCGACGAGCTTCTAAAATGTTCAATTCCCTGGTAAATTTTTTATCGATATGTTTAATTACTTAATGATATTAAAAGTTTATCACACACAATTATCAATCGGTGCATTGTGAACAGAAACAATGCTGCGTAATTTTCGATTACCGAACAACGCCTTGTTTACGTAAAATAATTTTGATAACAAAATAAATCGTTCAAAAAAATTTTTTTTTCAATATATTACTATTTAATTTTCGTTTTGTTGTTTGTAGTTACAGCCATTTAAACTTCATATTCTTGTATGCTAATTCATTCTTGATAAGCTGAATGTTTTTTGGTGCTACATTCATTTGTACCAATAATAAATCAACATGGACAATCTAGAAAGATTCGGAATTTACAAACTCCTTTTAAGTCTCGTATTTTCCTATAATGGTGCATTCTACAAGACACTGTTTATGGTACTTTCATACCATTTATGGTCAAATGTTGTTTGGATAGGCATTGTATCTAAGTTTAAAAATGTTTGGCCTATTCGTAAATATTTGATAAATTTTATTGCACACAAATAATCAAAAAAATATGGAATCTGATAAAAATGTTTATTGTTACATGCATTAAAAGTTTTTCATTGTGAAGCAACGATAATCACTGATTTTTCTGAAATACAGTAATTTTTGATAAAATCCCCCTCAAGTCTGAAGCGAGTTCACGTTTGAATCTCTAATAATACAGTATCTTTATATTTTGTTAACAATTTGTCCTAATCATTAGGTCAGAATCAAAAATGCATAACCCTTGGAGATATCTCAATGCCGACATCCGTTGCGTTTTTACTAATTTGTATGACGTCATATTTAACTTCGTTATCCGGAATTCTATTCTCGCAATTCGCTTCGATGTCGTCCCGAATCCAGAAACACCAAGGAAGGAAGTCGATCTGCTATATTGGAGGAACTGGATCTGTGTGTCAGCACAGTTTACGCGATTCGTCTTCACTCTACCGGTTGTCGTATTATATCCTCTTATGATGCTAAAATCTCTTGAATCCGAATTTGTTCGTAGACCTATACCGTCTACAAGAAACAAGTACCCTGATGAGAAATGGTTTTTTATTAACGGAATAGCAGGGGAAAAGGAATGGTTGGAACAAAACTGTAGGTATCTAGAAGATCGTTTTCAGACTGAAGTCACGGGGATCTTTAATAAAAGTTACGGTCTTCTCTGGGATTTGGTGGAGAGCATCCTTCAGAGAAGCTTCGAGATTCTAACTATCTCGGTACGTTTAGCTACTATTAACATTCTTCCAGCACTCAGAGACAAAAATATCAAAACTGTTCGGTTAATTGCACATTCTCAAGGGTCCATCATAACAAGTGTACTCATAAAGAAGCTATATTTGGAATTGAGCTATACAAATCAACAGGATTATCTTGGAAAACTCGAAATATATACATTCTCAAACGGGTCCAGAGAGTTCAAGAATCCTGGGGGTCTGATTAGGTACATCGAACATTATGCAAATTCGAAAGATCCAGTCGCAAAATTAGGTGTTCTTAATCCGGCTCTAGCTAAAAATTTCCAAGGCAACATTTTTGTTAACCAAAGATCCGGTCATTTGTTCAACACATATTACAGTCTCCATTCTTCTAGTTATGCTCCTTACGGATCTTCTGGTACTATTCCTAGACTATTAAGTTTATAGCGATTAGATATTGTATACAGTAACAGTATTGTCAGCAGGATGATTTTGTATCTTATTAAACTTATTACAAATACTCTATAGGATGATAGCACGGCTAATCATTAATCATTATGTTTATTACTTTTATGTATATACAGTATGTATAAATTATTGTTACAAACAAGACTTGATTATTGATTGTAAAGATATCGCATCAGAACAAACTACTGTTTGACTAAACAATATAACTTTACGTGCGAAACATATAATGCTTCTGAACATATGATAATATCAAATGTAGATGAAATTCCAAAAATTAATTTTTAATACACAGTATTGTATAAAGACTTTGATAAAGAACGGGATGGATGCAAAATATAGTACCCTTTAAAGATTAAAATAACACAAGGATGTAAAACAATCGCTTGAAAATCATTGGGAAATACATTATATGAGCGAGCGAAGATATAAGATATCATGCACAGTAATACGACCATTTTATTAAATGCTGCTTCCAAATTTGGAGAAAGATAATCATACACCGTGTAACAAAAAAACCCACATAGTTACTGTATTGCTATACAATTGTTTGTTTACTTACTTGGCGTTAATTTATAAAACACATGAAAAAGGAGAGGAAAAAACAAGGGAGGATTATAGAATCCGTGTGGACTTTGGAGTACATCACTCTTCTTGATCTAAAATAAGTGATGGGATTTAGATAAAATTTTCGATAAACTGTGTAGCTTGATTAATCTCCTAAAGCTAGCATCATAACAGAAGGATTATTATCCCGAGAATCGGGAACTGATTACGAAAATAAATTAATGATAAGTGACAGAAATAAAAATTATGTGATAAAGATTTATTGGTCAATCTATACTAGTACAATTATATAAGAAATTAAAATAAGGTCGTGGACATTTGTATAGGTAACGTTTTGTATTTTCTTCTGCTGCCACATTTGACCGAAACTTTTGTTTTTGGCTTATCGAACCTCTCATCATTTTAAATGCTAGTAAATTATACATGACGATACTTTATTTGCTGCCAAATTCAAATCGAACGGTTAAAACATTTCAATAGTTGGAAGCTCAACTGTGTATCTTACAACGTGCTAAGGAAATTTGTGTCTATTGAGTATTCCTATAATATGCTAGTGTATGAGTTTGACTGAACATTTAAGTTAACATAAAGGCATGGATATTTTTTTATGTCCAGGTTTTAGATAGTCACATTATGCAATAATAGAAGTTTAATTTTAACTATAGTTAATAAAACCAACCTGAAATGTAACCATAGAGGTTTAAAATTGCCTTTTGTGTTATCAGCTATAGCTTATTATTGCCATAAATATAAGGATGATATAAAAAAAGATAACAATAACACAAATAATAAAAACCGTCCTATAAATTTTAAATTTCTAATTTAATAATGTGATTGATTATTTCAAATTGTGTAATTTGTAATTAACAAACCTATATTCCAGTACGTACAGTTTCAGAAGGTTTCCTGGAGATGCAAAATGAAAATTAATAAGAGAACCTGCGAAGAAAAAAAGTAATTGTTAAAAACAAAATATTTTATTAATTTTAATTTCATATCATGAGCAAGAAAAAAATCTTTTATTTATCTTGATGTTATATAAGCTTATCCAAGTGATCAACTTGTAAACATTTGTGTTAACAATGGATACTCTTCACAATATATACACAAGTAAATATAACTAGGTAAATGGAAACCATTTGAAGTCCGAAGGATTATCGCTGACACATTCAACAACATCCCCTATTTATGCATTCCTTTATTCCCTCTATATCCTTTATCATTTAAATCAGCTTATACAGTAAATACTCGATCGTATAGTTTCCCGCACTAATCACACTACCATGACTATCGATCACTATCATGCCTAAGATTATTGTCGTGATGCGAAAATACATCATGTAATCGTGACCCAAAAATCCAACTCCAAGAACATTAACTGTAAAAGAGTTATACTCTATAATAAAAAACTCCGTTAAATTAATGTGTCGCTATCAATTATGTATCACGTGATCGGAAGGTATACACACATCCGGATCACTATTGCTGTACATTAAAGTGTCCTTCGGACAATTATACAGTATATAATATGGTACAAAAAAAATAATTATTATGTTTTTTTCTAACTTAATAAATAATTAATAAAAATTTATGAAAATTTATAAATCTATAGTTAAATATCTTACAAACAACTTTACTTAATATTGTTTTAATGAACATCTCAATATTTTTTAAAATAATATAATTTTTATAATAAAAAAATTTATAACAATTTTTTTTTACTTATATATATATATAAAGTGGTTATAAATAGGCAAAAAAAATTTTATAATAATATAAAAATAATATATAAACGTTTCTGAAGATTTTAAATATTTTTATATGTAATTTTTTATCATCTTATTTTTTAGTCAAATTTTTTAATGATATCTTTAACTTTAAAATAAAATATATTAAAAAAATTATTATTATTATTATAAAATTATTTAATTGGTTTTTTTTATTATATTTCTAAAATTAATTAATATTAAATTATAAAAAAAATTATTTATTGAATTATTAATGAAAATATAATTATAAAAAAATAATCATTTTTTTTGCACAATACTGTATTTCTTACAATATATCAATTAAAATAAAACAATAGTATATTCTTTACAATATATAATTTACAATAAGCCCAGTTGTATACTATTATACTTGATTTTTATTTAAGATTTTTATTATAACTTGTTTAGTTTTGTCAATATTTATTTTTAAGATATTGTATATTTTAGAATAATATTAATTGAAAATAATTTATTTAATAAGATGTTTAGTATTTTATTAATAAAAATAATTTGTTTTTTTTTTGTAAATATATATATATAGTGTATTATTTTTAAATTTTTTTTCATAATTATATTTATTTTTTGAATTTTGTTATATACTGTAAATTTATTTAATAAATTTTGTGATATATATATTTATTGAATTTTAATATATTAAATTTGCAATTTAAAAAAATAACCATTAAATATTTATAAAAATCTTATTAATTTAAAAACCTATATTTAAATGAAAATAAATTAATCAATATATTTTAAATAAAAATAATATATTTAATCAAATGAAATTTGATATTTTATAATTTAACATTTATTATAAAAATTTAAATATATTGTAACTAGGGTTCTGATCAATATTATTCGGTATGGTATTTTATAAAATCAATATTAGAAAATTTTTTTAATATTGATACCAATAGTTATTGAAAATTTTTGATACGATATTTTAAAATACTGATATTGTACCAAAGTATCGAAAATATTAATACTAATTAAAGTACTAAATAAAGTTTTGATTAATACTATTTTAAATAATAATAATCTAAATCTACCTGTTTATCAAAACTTCATGTCGCTTTGCCTAACATCTATAAAAGTTAAGTAAAAATCCTTAATTAATGACAATCAATTACATCGAAAAAACATTTTCACAAAAATAAAACATTACCTCTTTCAGAAACCAGTGCAAGAACTCTTGATTACTAATAAACAAATTTTTCAAAACCAGTAAATGCAAAATAATACTAAAGAATGTTAAAACCATTAATTGATGATCTTACAAAAGTTAGTGAATGCATTTACCAATTTAAATGTTCATTGTGCAGATTTGGAGTAGAAAGAGAAGACATATTTATGGCTGAAGTGCTATCTGCCAAAGCTAACAAATGGACAGGTGAGAAAAATATGAGAATAATAAGTGACTATTTTCGAGATACTACTGCAGAATTATCATCAGATACGTCTTACCTTCTGAATAATCATGATTATGAAAGAAGCTGCGTACCAGCCTTCCTGCATTATTTTGTATCGTGTCCTTTGAACAACAATATCAATAGCAAGTAAACTTTCTGAAAATAAAAAAGTGTTAGTGTACGTCTATAAGTTTCGGAAGAGAAAGATGGATTGGTGCCTACTATTAGAGATGCAACGATGTTAAGGGAAGTGAAAGGGGGGATCAAAGTGGCTGAAGATATTATATCACTTATGCTGAAAGAGAATCAACTCTGTATGGTTATAGTATAAATAGGTTAGGGATACCGGTCGAAGAAATAAAAAAAAGTGATACCATCTGTAGGAATGCCTAGTTAGACGAGAGGTCCTGTTATAAGAAAGTCATCTGCTTATGACAATATTGATGAAATCCATCAAATCGTTATTATTAAATAGAAGCATCAGAATCAAAAGCGGACATCATTTAAAGAGAACCAAATTTTTGTTAATGTCATGAAAAGAAAATTATCATAAGTGTCAAGTGAAGGCCCTGATTTCGAATAATGAGACTAAGAAGGTACTTACTAATAAAATCGATCTTATGATACAGATGACAAAAACACCTCGTGGAATAGAGGCCCATGTGAGAAAGGAAAGATAGGTAAAGACAAGAAAGAATGACGTATATCCTTTAAGGAAGATGAAGCGACAGGGGAGACACATAGTAGTTCTAACTCCAATTATAAAGTACAACGGGAGATATCAAGCCCCACCACGTATCCCTACATTTGTTCTAGTCTTCCAACTTTTCCTTTTACAACTTCTAACCGGTCTTATTTTGGCAGCATTGACGATTTTCTCCATTAAGCCACCCATACGGCAGGGTGTAATTCAATGGTAGCCTTCTGATGTCAACAACTCATGTAGTTCTTTCCTTCCTTCTCAGTTTCATAATTTTTGGGGGATTTTCTTCGATTACCATCATCAACGTTTTAAGTTTATTATCACGTAAATTTATTAATTACTAGTAATGACACTACGTATATTTCACTTTAACTAAAATTATTTTATTCATATCTATTAGTTTCTATATTTTTTATAATTACATAATAGAAATTTATTGGACATAGTAAAACGAAGACGAATAAATATTCATCAAATGCAAATAATTATATAAACAAATAAATCTTCTTTATTCTACCAAATAGTAGGAATTTGGTGGCTCCTTTCACAAGATGACAATTTACTCTTGAATTTCATGCATTTTATTACTTTTTCTCAGAAAAAAAATACTTTTTTGGATCGAGATATTTAATCATAATTCTATTCGGGATGATTGATAGTTGAAAAACCAGGTGGTAAGTTGTTCAGGCCGCGATAGTATTTCTTGGATCGTTTAGCGTTAAAAAAAAATAATTAATATATCATTAAATGTTTCTAAATCAATAATTTCAATAACAAATATAAATTAAATTTACGCACCTTAATATCGTTCCTCACCAAAAAAAAAAAAACCCCCCTCAGAAAAAAAAAGGAAAAAAAAAAATAAAACTAAAAAGAGTCATATAAAATACTCAACTCTTTCCGTTAGCTATAGAACTGATTCCCCTAAAGAGCTGCTTTCCGACTAGAGGTAATGGATTTTTGAATTGAGATATTTGAGTAGTTTTGTTCCTTTCAGTAGTAGTATTCTTTTAACCATCTAAATACAAAGTTCCATGACACTTTGCACAAGCTTAGATCAAGTAAATACTCACCGACAAATCCAACTTCTCTAGTTCCGACGAACTCAAGAAGACAGTAATATACATCACTCACCCTATAATATCGTACACGCATGGCTCATAAAAAACTGAGTCTCTTGTGTGCACATATGATACATGCCAATCCCACCACTTGAGATTAGTGGACATCGCTGGGCTGACAAATGAAATGAAAACGATAGGATAGGGAACGATGAGTGGAATAAAATAAAAAAAAAGTGAAATAAAAAATAAAATAGAATAATATTTCAACTTTTTCGCAACACATAGACAGAGTACCAAGGTTGTATGCCCACTAGAAGTAAAATGTGTTCTTGATTGCAAAAGTCCCATGATACCTTTACAACTAGTTCAGACCAAACTAAAATCACGACGAACCCGGAAATACAATATTATAATGCCACTTGCCTATGTGACTTCATAGATTCAACAAAGGGACTTCCAAGAGGTTCTTTTTTTAGCCTAAGAAAAGAAAAAGGAAAAATAAGGTCTTTTCAAATAAGGAGTTTCTTAGGCAGAGAGGAAAAGTAAGTTGGGTTGATTTTACGTGAAAATCTACTTATTTTATATCAAAGGTTTTGACATGTCATCTGAACGTAACACACGTAGTATTACGTATATCTTACATCATACATGTGTAATATTTTTTATTTAATTTTATTATACTGTATATAATGATGTGCAAAATTTCTTTTCAGATGAATAAAAATATAAATAATATTGCATTTTGAATATAACACAAATATGTATACATTCACTTTTTCCTACAGGTATTAGATTCATTCCTTTATTTTTTTTTTATAAAATTTTGATATTATTTAAAAACTATTATTTTATCAAGTAATTTACTATTAATAATTTTATTTGAAATATATTAAATACTTAAATTCTAAATTTTGTAAATTTAATGTTTTGTTTGAAAAATTCTTATACAAACAAAACTTATTTAATTTAAATATTTATTTTAAAAATAACTTTACTTAATATATAAAAATAAAGTTTAATAATAATAATTTTTATGAATTGTTTGGTTAAGAATTTAAACTGATAATTAATATATTAAAAGTATACAATTATATGAATAATTTTATTTTAAACATTTAAAAATATTATTCCTTAAATCGTAAGGCATTTTTTTATAATGTTTAAAATTTTTTAATTAAAAAGTTGTTTTTTATTTATTTTTTTAAATAATCAAAATATTTTTCTAAAAATTTATATAATATTAGTTTTAATTGTATATTATCTATTTATAGTATTTATTTTTTATTTATTTAATAAAAATTTAGAGTTTAATTATAAGCAAAAATTTTCAAAATAAATAGCTTTAAGCTTTGTGTTTAAAATTTTAATATAAAAAATTATATAAAATTTAATATATGTTTAAAGTAAAAAAATTATTTTACTTTCAATACAAGTAATAATTAAAATTATTCTTTGCAAATAATTCTACAAAACTGATTATAATTATATAAACTTTAATTTGAAAAATTTTTAAGTTTGTCTAAGATCAAATTTTATTAAAAAAATTTTTTTTTAAAATTAAAATTTTTGCTTATAATTAAACTCTGAATTTTTATTAAACAAATACTATTAATAGATAATATATAATTAAAACTAATATTATATAAATTTTTTAAAAAATATTTTGATTATTTAAAAAAATAAATGAAAAGCAACTTTTTAGTTAAAAAATTTTAACCATTATAAAAAAAATGCTCTACAATTTAAGGGATAAGAATATTATGTATAAGGATTAACTTAAAACAAATAGTAGACCTACTAACTCTGGTTGAGTATGTGTTTTGGAAAGTATTTGGTTTAACAAATATGATGGTGATGATGTGGATAGTTTTTATAATAGAATAAAAATAAGAAGGGATATAAGAGAACTGAAGAAAAAAAATAGTCATGGGCCTTTCTTCATGTAACTGAAGAATAAGCAAGACTTCCAAATTTGAATAGATTTTGACCAAAGGTCCTATTCTATTGCATCAGTTATATTGAAGGTTTTTGAGTTTCTGAGCTGGGGCTTACTTGTAATAAAGAGAGTAAACTATTTTTTTTTGCTTAAAATTATCATAAAAGAAAAATTTTTAACAAAATGAATATGATTAAAAGAGAATTTTTTTTAATAAATTGTTTTTTTTTTTAGATTGTATAAAAAAAGATATGTAATAATTATTTTTTTATAAATTTTTATTAAAAATTTTTTTTTTTTTTTTATGTAGGTAAACATCATTTCTTTATTTGATTTGTATATTAAAAGTATACAGTACATCATGAAAAAAATAACAT